GACTGGAGTGTTTCGTCCCATCCGAACGACTAGACAGCTTTCCTTGTCAGCCCCTCCGTCCTGCATCACTGACAAGGGAGAACCACGCCGGAAAAAATAAAGAAAAACACAGCTATGAACTTACTTTATTGCAGTCAAACAGCTGGAGTGAGATTTCGCGACACACCATGACGAATAAAAATTAAGGCTTTAATTAGGCGTATGATATTAAATGTTTATTGGAATCTCTTGGATTTGCCTCAGTTTTCGATGATCAGTATGTTGGTTTTACCTTTCTATGATGATATCAGTATTTATAGGAAAAGAATGGAGGTTGCTTGAAATATTAAAAGCTAAATTATTATAAACCTTTTCACCATTGCCTTATCACAAAAAGAATATTTATCAATTACTGTATCTATATCCAAATTTAGATGTGAATCACATAATGAATAGATCTGTATGTGTATTACATCACGTACTAAACGAAACGGAAAGATACGATGAAATTACCAGATAAAATAGAATTTATGCAATTTGAATAACGTTGAAGATGAATATCATTTCCTACTGTATTGTCTATTATGTAAAAATTATATTATTCCTTTTCATTATAGAAATCAACCTTCACTTAAAATCGTTCACGTCACCAGTTATTTTAAACTTATTAACAAAATAATATATACATTGATCATTGATTAATCGTGCGTCTAGTCTAGAATTGTACATACTATTCTAACGTGTTTTTTACTATTTGTGCCATAAATTTATTTATTTATTTATTTGTTGTTTCAGCAATGACAAATTCTTACTTACTAACAAGTAGGAAACGTGTTCTTTTTGGCACATGCCTGGGTTCTAAACAGGTACATTCTAGCCCTTACGTACCACCTACACGCGATTTAATTACTATAGACCCTTATAGTTATGACGTGGATAGTCGACACAAGAAGCTACTCAAACCATTATTCTTTAGGAATTTTGTTTTTAACAAACGCAATGCGTTATTTTGAAAAATTTCAAGCAGATCGTATCTGTAAAAATTGCAACGTACACAAATGTCGTTGTTCTTCTATCGTTACTCCAATAAATAACCGAGATTAATTTTAAATGGTATAAACGATTTATCATAAAGATCACAAACCAAGAAAATTAAAATGGATCAAATGACATAAAATCATGGTGAGATTTCGACAAAATCATTTTTTAAAAAAAAAAAGTTATATTAATACCCGCCTGGAGGTAAGAACACATATAACAACTTATTTTAGCTAAACCGACTTGTAGTTTAATAGAACCACTAACACATTCATTTAAACGTATTTAATTTATTACTACCTAAACAACTTCAGAAGTCTGAAAATGAATGACGTTGGCTTAATCTTTTCTAAAGAACTATTGCCTCGGGGGGTCACATTGGCTTCGACAAATTTTCAAATCCTCACAGCATATCGAATCTGTTTACAAATTATTATACACGTAAATCTGTAGTATTTTATATATACTGTTAAAGGCTCAATACCACGCTTGTTGTAACTGAATAATATGTCCCAATCTTTATTCTGGTCAACAAATTGTACTATTTTACAATATTCCAATTAATTGATGATACAAATTTCATCTTAACACACCTAATTTAAAAAATTGGAAAAATTCAACTAAATGATTTGGAAATATTTTTGAACCCTCTGAACAAGTAAAATAGGATTTAATGGATAATTTACACAACAGGTAGGACACTAACACATCTAGTACTTAGAATAAGGCTATTTTCTATTATCTGGAGTTGTCAAGCCAGCAAGAGTGTTATTGTCCCTTTAAAATTTACCATATTTGTGTTAATGGAATATCGCCTTTTCATCAGTGTTAAAATTGAAATAATTGTGTTATTGTTAATATCGCATTTTTGTTTTATCATATTTTTACAATTTGAAATAATTGTTTTATTAAAAACGTCGTATTAAAGAAATGACATTTATTTCTTATAGTTAAAAAGTAATCAATGTTTGGTATGGATATTTTTTGTGACCTTTGAGTTTAATCGAATCTTGCATGTTTAGTTTAAGATATTCTGGAAGTCAATCAATAAGATGTTAAAATATAAATGAACGGCTGTTTCCCTTTCTTTCTTCCTAATCAATGATTACTACAACGATCGGATCTGGTATAATTGACGTACAAAGCGTATTAACCGAACGACTTGATACTGTTGTTGTTGTTCTTTTTAGTGTTTAACGTCCGCTTCCACCGAAGGTGATATCGCAGACAAGATTTTTTTTCACTAACTTAGCGCACGCGCAGGGGTCTTTCCTGTGGGAGGAAACCGGAGTACCCGGAGAAAACCCACGAGGTTGAGAAGGCGCCCCTATCTCCAAGCCACATACGCAAGCCAGAGGTGACCGGCCAGCTAGAGGTCGAAGCGCGGCACTCTAGACCACTAGGCCATCCCAACCCCCTGACTTGATACTGTCCATTGTCCTCCGCTATATACCATTGACAAGGGGAAACCATGCTAAACGATATCGAGTAGCCGGGATCGAACCGTACACCTCCTGGTTAACAAGCCAGTGCCCTAACCACAGAGCTACTTTAACTTATATTAACGCCAAGAGCCGGAATAACAGGAATAGAATAACTCGTATTGTATTATGCTAGGTTGCTACTACCACGATTCGTGGTACGATTGAAACTGTGGTTTTAATCGTTGTTTTAATCGTAGTGATCCCATCAAGTGTTATGATATATTGACGTCAGTCGTAGCAATCGTGTTGATCGTATCGAGGCGTGTCCGAACGTAGCTGCACTACTAGATCGTGCATCCCCTCGTAACGCATCGCACGAGAGTGGGAGCCTAGAAAAAAGCCTCTATGCCTCAATTTAAGCAATATAAATCGTTTGTAAAACTGCATTATTGTGAAAGATGAATCTCTAATAGGAATGTTTGTAAAAAAAAATGGTTGAATTCCGTTCAGTGTTGACACGGTTATGTTGAATTGAAATTTCATCGATCTATGCTGCTCGATCAGTACGGTTCACGGTGGCTATGTGTGTAAGGCGCTGGCTCGCTAGCCTGGAGGTCGGGTGTTCGACGTGGTTTCCCCTTGTCAGTGATACAGGACAGCTGTCTAGTCGTTCGGATGGGACGACGAAAAACCGAGGTCCCTTGACGCATTGGCGTGCACGTAAAAAATCCCTTGACAGTTGGAATTTGATAGGCCGTAGCACCACTGTTCAGGGAAAATGTCACTCATAACATATTGTGTGGCGTATGTTTGTCTTCATTGGCCTAGTCGGAGCAGAACCTCGGAATTTCTTTTCATTTCCGTTCCCAAAGCTACAGGTGAAAATTTTGAGATTGAAAGATATAAGAGGATAAGATACAAGAGTAGGCTGTCGCTCCGCTATCCCTCACAGCACACATATGGCGTATGCCCGTCTTCATTAGCCCAGTTGGGAGCAGAACAGTAGGACGTTAAACCCCATTTCATGCTGCTCGAGTGTAACAAGACGCCGCCATCTTTTATTGGTATCGGGGGAAACCTTATGGGCCCAGTTTATGGAATCCATACCGGGAGATTTTATTACGAGTTGGTATTTGATGCGAGTTTCTTAATTATATGTTAAATACTCAATCTAAGAACATATTTAGCACTTAAACATCAGTAACAAGTTCGACCCCTTTTATAATAACTCCACGGAATTCCTCGAGCTGTGTCAAGTTGCGGACATAATGTAATATAACGGTGGGAACCGGTATAAGAAGATGACCGGTTAGTTTCTAGGCAGCTACACCAAGGTGAACGGCTCATCCCGATAGTTTCTAGCCAGCTACACCAAGCTGAACGGTGGAACCCAGAGGTTTCTAGGCAGCTACACCAAGATGAACGGCTCATCCCGGTAGTTTCTAGCCAAGCTGAACCAAGCTGAACGGATAATCCCGATAGTTTCTAGCCAGCTACACCAAGATGAATAGCAGAACCCGGTCACAAATCAACCGTCGAGAACGGAGAATAATAACAACAATTATACATCGTTTGATGCGAGTATTTCGGGAGTAACCAATCATTCAACCAGATGAAGAAACAGTCGTTTATATCAATTTATCAACCTATAACGGTAAATCTCTTTGATCTTTTGGGTATATTCTATGCCCGGGATAACTTGCGGTCTGAAAGTCGGGGGCGGCTTTGGATATATACAGGGGAATTTGGGGTTATTCTTCTGAAAGTTTTTCTTTAAACCCGTAACGAGTTATTCGTCCAGGGTAGGGTTTTTTTCCATAAGAAAACATGATATAAGGTTTTTCTTACTGGAATACTGGGATATTTTCATTTTACGTGCATGCAAACATAGATGGTTTATAAGTCAGATAAAGTGCTCGACTTCCGTTATGCTGGTGGAGAAAGACTTGAAAAAAAACTCTCGAAAGAAAAGCCGAAGCCTCCCGGCCTCCCAGTCTTTCTTTCCCCATCATAATCCCAGTCTTCTGTTTTATCCTACATATAATGTTCCCGACCAGGTGCCCGATCAGGTACCCGATCAGGTGCCCAATCACCAAAGGACTTCATAATGATGGTTGCTACGTAATAGTGTTAAAATTGATACCATCAAAATAATAATAAATGCTTTTGTTATGTGTCATCTTTACATTATTGTAATTCATTATTGTATTCTCTTCCTAAAACGCTTGTAAGTCAGCTACAGTAAATCCAGAATAGAGCAGCTCGAATTGTATCTCTCACCAAACCATCTGACCATATTACACCTGTTCTAAAACAGTTACATTGGCTACCGGGTAATCAACAGTAATTTTATAAGTCTATAGTGCGGAAATAACAATAAGTTTAAAGGCAGGGTACAGCTTTTCACAGCAAGCTACAACAGCAGCAACAATTGAGACATGAAATACACTAATTTTGTGTAGCCCAAGTCAACAACTAAAGTATTGCGTGTAGTTTATAACCACAAGTCAGACATTAACAAGAATTCTTATAGTTTTCACAATTTTTTATCTACACAAATTTAAACACATGTTTGATATACGGGGAAATTAAACATTCTTTGGGGAGTTGCCTATATAAACACGTTACATACAGGGTACATGATCGACATAATATACGTATACGTCATTTCCTGATTTATTGTTTTGTGAACTAGATGGGAGGATCGTCCGTCATCCATTACTCGCCGGATAAAGATGGAATACTTTCGATGACTTGAAGTTCGAGAAGTGGTATATTCACCAGTCGAGAATTTGTATTTTTAAATTCCCAACTGAAGCCATACTGTATGTGTCCTGTCCCTCAGAACTGAAGATAAATAGCCATGGGTGTCATACACGAGGCAGTTTAATGCGTATGTCACTTAGCTATAGATAGTGAAGGCTGGGGTAGAGTCAGTCTGCTTACTCTATCTAGAGCATCTGGTGACACTTTTAACATAGATATAAATATCAACGAGAGACATACATAGACAAGTACGCCTTCTGGAACAACTGGTACCACATTCATACTGATGTGTTCGTTCACGTGCATTTATCAACTTCTAGAACAACTTGTACTAGACCGATACTGAAGTGTTCGTCCACGTGCATTTATCAACTTTTTAATTTGATCGTCTTTTATTGTATTGTGAATAAATCTTTAACTATGTATTATGTTTATATAAAACACTGCCTTTTTTTTTAATGTATTATTTTCATACAAAACACTGTCAGAGAAATATCAGGTTTAAATACAGAGGCATTTGATGGTTTTAGAAATCTGTATTCCTCCTCTATGATGTTTTAGGAATGAAATAAAATGGGGTTTAATGTCCTAATGTCCTACTCCGAACTGGGCTAATGAAGACGGGTATATGCCTTACAGTGTGCTGTGAGGGAAATTTTGACCGGACAGCGGCGCTATGGCTTTCTTATATCGAATTTCAACTAACTGCCAAGGGATCTTTTACGGGAATGCCAATGAGTACATGGGACCTCGGTTTTTCGTCCCATCCGAGCGACTAGACAGTTGTCCTTGTCAGGTCCTCCGTCCTGAGCCACTGACAAGGGGGGACCACACCGGAAATTGATATTTTAGAGAAGAGCAAGACGTTAAACCCCATTTTATTTCACTGATTGAAACAGATCCGTATACTGTCAAACATAAACATAATCGAGACAATCAAATAACACAACGACTTGATATCAAATAATATCCTAATAGTACCGGACACTTAATTTAACAAAATTGTCCTTGGGTCTTTTCATTTTATAATTTCACCTCATCTATCAATAATAACAGTATACCGTTAAACCCCATTTCATTTCAATTTGGATTCAATCAATCAAGAAACTTCTATAAGAGTCACCATTTTGAATGTCGCGTGTCTCTATTCAATATGATTGGTCTAATCCGACAAACGATAAATAAAACATGACCGCTTAGCGTATATTGTTTAGCTAACCGACCATGCTTATTGTTTTATCTCTACACATTCAATCAGCGTGAATCTGAGAGAGGGAGAACTGGGGTTTAACATCCACTCGACACAAACTAGCTCATTTTGAGAATAACATATGGTCCATTTTTTTTTCATTAATTTGCTTGCGTAGTGGGAGGAAACCGGAAAACCCGGAGAAAACCCACGAGGCTGGACAGGCGATCCTACTCCTGAAGAATGAAAATAACGCCACTTGACCAAATGACAGACCTAATGATGTCACACGTACGCGCTAACGACCCCACCCCACCCCCACCCCAGTGTGAACCTGGTTTAAGGGTGTTATTATATGACGTCACATGAAACACAACTTTAATGATAAGACACTGTTGATAAAATCACTTATTACTGTACATACGTCATCAAATCACTTATTACGTCATCAAATAAACTATAAATACTTATATAATAAATATTTCCCAGTATCTTCTTCTAAGTACAGGGCTTTTTATACAATAATCAACATACTTCTTCAACCTCATATAAATACAGATTATATTCCGTTTCGTTTTTTATAGTTCATAATTTAGTTTTACTTGTCTTCACTACACTAGAATCTGAAGAGTTATTTTAATAACCTGTGTTCTGGTTGATGAGAGGGATTAGCCAATCAAATGGTGTGTTGAGTCAAGTTCTTGTCATCTAGTACTAGGGACTCTGGGTAGACATCCGTCACGTCAGAACACAAATCAAAGAAAAAGTAATATCTCCGAACACCCACTCAAAATACACATCTTGGTTGTTTGTTCATGTAAATAAGGTCATAGGTCAAATGATGTTCATATGACCCCAGACACGGCATCCCACTACAGATGGTCAGCTGCTCGTGTAGTGGAGGCCATCGAACTTATAGAAAACGAGACGAAATATGGATCTATATTTTAATCTATCTAGACAGTATTCATCCTCTTCGATTCGCCAACACCTCCATGACCATTCGCTGCTGTTGCCGCGGTTACTGGCATCATCTTTAAAAACCCTTGAGGATTTTTATTAAAACATTTACAGAATATTCCCATAAAGGTATCCCTAAATTGTTTGCTCATCGAACAATATAGAACGAAATTAATGGAATTATTCATTAGGGCCATTGTATCGACCAAGTCCCCGAGCGCATCGTAAACATATTGTCTAAAACACTGATGTTGTTTAAATATGTTCATGAGAGTCAGAATTCCCTGGGGAAGTTCAGTCAATGTGAAAAGGACCACGACAGCTAACAGCATACCGGTAGTACGGTTATGTTCGCCATGCTTTTCCGATTCTGCTTTACGGCCTTGCGACTTCAACCTCATACGTTTACGATAAGCTTTATGCATGGCGTGGATGAGGAGAATAGTGAGCGTGGTCAGCATAGCACATGGAATTAATTTAAACAGTATCGCCTGAATCCAGCTATTAAGGGTAAAAATAGCAACGGCCATATCGGATCCTTCCATCGAGCCGGGTAAATACACAGTTTCGGTTACCAGTACGTTGGTCTCGTTTGTTGAATTGGCCAATTGCGACGAATTTACGACGGTCGTCTTTGTGTAGTATCGGTTTGATATATAATTAGGGACGCATAGGATCACCGTCAGTACATACACAACCAATATAGTCTGCTTAGCTCTTCGTAATGAACAATAAATGGCGCCTTTAGTTGGCAAACAGATATAGATATACCGGAATATAGCCAAGGCAATGGTCAACCAGATGGCCACCGTGTGACACACCATACTGAAACTAGCATGGAACAGGAGAAGCACGATACGAGCGAAAGATCGCGTTAAAAATTTCTCCAGGTTCGGTTCCCTAAAAATATAAAAACAAAACGCAAAAGATAAATAAGACATCATAGTGAAGAGATCAGCCACAGCCAGCCACATTAAAATAGTATTAGTTGACGATATCATATTTTTACGAGTCAGGACTATGATGTTGGCAATGTTCGCCATTATTCCAAACGTACAAACAATAGCACTGATATAGCCATGAATGACTGTGTACTCTATTGCAAAATGTTTTAGTCGATCAACGGTTGCTTGGCTGGCAACGCCGGGGATATAACCCAATTTACATTCCTGCTGCTGTTCACTCGGTACATTCGTTCCTGATATGTTTAATAACGTGTCCATGGTGGTCAGAGTGATGTTGTCTGTACTGTAATCCATAGTTTTAATCAGTTGTTCTAATCACTTTGTCACCAAATTAAAACATCTCCTGAGTCTGCGGTTGTTGTAGTCAGTTGTTCTAATCACTTTGTCACCAAATTAAAACATCTCCCGGGTCTGCGGTTATTGCAGTCAGTTGTTCTAAACACTTTGTCACCAAATTAAAACATTTCCTGGGTCTGTGGTTGTTGTAGTCACTAAACCACCAATTTAAAACAACTTCTCCTAAAAAGATAAAAATATAAGCATCATTAAAGCAGGTAATGCTACGTGTCAGTTCACTAAAAGGTAATGCTACGTGTCAGTTCACTAAAAGGTAATGCTACCTGTCCAACAATATACAACCACATTGTAATACAGGTAGGCGTAGATAAAATAGGTGATGAAATCCGAGATTTATATCACCAGAACTTGTATGATAAAAACTGTGATAATGGGATCCACTTGCTTTTTTGCCTTTCCTGGATCTTTACTAATCGTATAAAATCTAATTCCATAAATGTATTAAAATATTGAATAAACAATTGTTGTCGAAATGTGATAAATGACAAAATCATCGTGACATTGTTCACAGCATTCAGAATCAATAAGAATTGAAAGGGTGTGACGAAATAAATACCCAATGTTTGACCATGCGATGTTTCACGTATAATTATAGATTGATTAATTCCATGTAAATTGATTGCTATAGTTTTCTATAGATTTTGTGGTGAGACGTGCGTATTTCCCGTTCATACGGATCGCATAAAATCGTCTGGGTGTTGCGATGCCACAGGTGTATATTTCGTTTATACAGATTGAGTCAAATCATCTGGATTTTGTGACGCCACGTGCGTATACCCCGTTTACACGGATCGCACAAAATCACCTACGTTTTCTTTCAAAAATGATATCCCAGTGCATAGAGTAAAAGTCGTCACATTTTTATACTTCAATATATACAAAGTCCAAATAGCGATTAAAATCATGAATCGTGGATTTTGTTTATGGACCAAATAGACTATCGGATATACAACACGATATACTATTACACTAAACCAAATAGACTATCATATATACTGTATACTATTTATATGTATATTGTTAATGGTACAATAAACGAAGGTAACATCAAGGTCTAAAGACGAAACAGCTTGTCGTTTCAGCAACTCTAGAGAGAGAGAGAGAGATAGAGAGAGAGATCTGGGGGGGGGGGAGAGGTGTGGTTTAACCATCCACTAGACACAAACTAGGTCATTTCGGGACTAACATATGGTTCAATTTTATTTCAATAATTCGCATGCGCGTAGGGGACTTTAGCAGTGGGAGGAAACCGGAGGACCCGGAGAAAACCCACGAGGTTGGACAGGCGACCCTAATCCTTGTCACGTACAACCAATCGAAATCCCGCCAGTTGACTCAATGACAGACCGTATGATACAGTGTGCACGTGCTAACCATTCGGCCATCTCCCCCCCCACCCTAGATATAAATATGCACATAATATATGAAATGAAATTGGGTTTAACGTCGTTCTGCTCCACTGGATTACTGAAGATGGGTATATGTCATACATTGGGCTATGATGGCAATTACGACTGGGTTAATGAAGGAGGACATACGTGGAATTACTGGAAAGCGGCATCAATGTTTACTAAAATTTATGTGTACCCAAACATTAGAAACGGAACCTCGTTTTTTCGTACCATCTGAACGACTAGATACCATTCTTACCAGACTGTTCCTCCACATCACTGACAAGGAACCTACTTAGACAACATCGTGACCTACTAGTTAGTAAACTAGGTCCTTAAACAATGAGCTAACGTGACTCCTATGAAACCAGAGATCTTCAGATTGATGTTAATGTTGTCCATATCAATAAATTACTAGAACATATAAAACATCCAAGCAGGAGATGTGTAGTTTTTTTACAAACTACAAGTAAACTGATTTATAGTGGAATACGATCTACGTGTTAATAAATAAATGTTAGTCGATTGTTGTAGAGGAAATAACGTTGAATGCTATGTATCATTTACTGAGTGAATATCGTCCTACACCACAGTCAATAGTGACCCTTCTTTACCCTAATCGCTAGACTATGTGTCACCTATTAATGTCCACAACCGGAAATCAACACATGAGGAATTGTTATTTTGCCTGCAGATCTTTCCAACCCCCAACCTGCAGTTTCCTTCCGGAGTTCTCCCTTACAACTGTCTAATCTATAATTCAACTTGTGGCCAGGTCACGTATACAGCCACTTCTTATAAGAACACTGTGATTAGCCGACCTGATACAATCGCAGCGGCTCATGGGAAACCTTTCTTAAAGATACATTATGGGAAATTAGATAAAGAGCTAGCAGTTCTCATGATAATAGCTAAAAACTAGATAATGTAAATGGAATTTGATGAAAATTTCAGTCAAATTGATCCACTCTGAACCGAGATTTCAGCGATTGAATTTTCGGCCTAGCCTCGATCATCATTACTTAAGTCAGTACGATAAAAACATAGTCTCGATTATCCGTTTAATGATTAAATTATGAACAGGAAATCAGAACTTAATCCAATAAACATCGTAGGCTAGCGATGCCATCGAGAGTTGATTATGGTCTGGATAAGTTAATTAATCTCTAATTAATAATTTAGACAAAATTTCAGGCCTAAAGAAAAACCTGCAATAGGCAGATTTAGCTCTTGCATAAGGCCTGTTTAACCACGTGTTCAAAGGGTCAAGTTGCTGACCAGATAGAGTATCTCCCAGAAACCCGTTCTTAAAAGGACACTGCACGATTAACTGACCAGATACAATGGCAGCGTCTCACAGGAAACCTTTCTTAAAAGACCTATTTGAATTACCGACCATATACAATCGCAGCGTCTCATAAAACTAAAACCTTTCGTAAAGGGCCACTTTGATTAACCGATCAGTTCCACTCGAATCGTATCATGGTAGCCCTTTCTTAAAAGGACACGATGCGTGTCTATTTACATCATGGCTTTATCTCTATCCTCGGGTATTATACTATTTACACCATGGCTTTATATCTATCCTAGGGTATTATACTATTTACATCATGGCTTTATCTCTATCCTAGGGTATTATACTATTTACATCATGGCTTTATCTCTATGCAAAGGTCTATGATCGAGTCAGATGGCGTGGTTTCGATTTTTCGCTTATACGTGACGAGGAGTAGGATCGCCTGTCCAATTTCGTAGGTTTCTCCGGGTCCTCAAGTCCACTGCCAAAGAAATAAAACTAGACCATATGTTAATCCCGAAATTACTTAGTTTGTGTCGAGTGGACGTTAAACAACACTCTCTCTCACACACACACTTAATACGTTTAAAGACGCATTTAGTTTTGCCAACGATTAGACACACTTCCCCACTGGGTTCTCGGTCCTGGACCACAGATAGGAACTTTCTCAGAAAACACAGAGTTCGAACGCTGGGCTCCAGGATTAGTGTGACTACCCATTATATAGGGAGAGAGAGAAATGGGGTTTAACGTCCACTCGACACAAACTAGGTCATTTCGGGACTAACAAATGGTTCAATTTTATTTCAATAATTCGCTTGCGCATGGGGGTCTTTAGCAGTGCAAGAAAACCGGAAAACCCGGAGAAAACCCACGAGGTTGAACAGGCGACCCTACTCCTTGTCACGTACAACAGGGGAATCGAAACCTCGCCAGTTGACTCAATGACAGACCTTATGATACGAAATAACGCGCACCTGTTAACCATTCGGCCACCTCCCACCCATTATACAATTAGAACCTCAAAAACTATAAATTTCGTGACATAAAGCTCCGTTTTATCTTAAAATCTTGTAATTAACATCAATTATACAACACATAGCTACATATATATAATATCTTCAGTCACGTGATATAATCTTCATTCCGCCATTACTATATATCATTAAATCGTTTCTGTCATTGTTGACATTTAACTTAAAGTATTTAATTTGATAATCGATGGTTAAATATTATCCTTACAATTGTTCTCGATATCATAGGAATTAAGTTAAATTTCCAACTCTTAAAACGTCTAGACAAAAATGTTTTCTGCCCTAGGGATTGTCACTGAAATTGTTATCACATCCATGCAGGAACACCAGTTAAAAAAAACAAAAATAAAAAATGACGTTTTATGTCTTAACAAATAAATGGAATGAAATAGGGTTTAACGTCCTACTGTTCTGCTCCTACAGGGCAGTGTGCTAAGAGGGAAATGTTGCCCGGACAGCGGTGCTACGACCTACTCTTATATCGAAATCCAATTGTCAAGAGATCCTTTACGTGCACGCCAATGTGTATGCGGAATCTCGGGATTTCCATCCCATCCGAACGACTATTACGCAATGTCTTACGCTCGAGACCATTAAACAACTTAAAATGCATCACACGGGTTCAAAATTTTAACTAGTATAAATAATGTATGCTTGGCACATTGCCTTCACCATTATTTGAAATAATGATACGCCAACATCAAAGAATGACGTCATATCTGTATTTTAAATAACTTTATAACACCCATAATACAACGGTTATATACAGAACACTTTAAACACACAGCTATGACAATAGAGACTTTGGCAAGCGTTTTTTTTCCCATCCGTATCACCTATCCGTATCGTCACGTGATAAGTTGTGTCAATGTAGTTTTAGAGTTTTGACAGATTTTCCCGCCGCGTACGTATGAGTAGCTGAGCTGAGCTTAGTTCTATAACAACATGTTGGCAGTTATCTACCAAGATCACCATCAGCACTAGTCAAGTGTCTAGCCTGCAAATTACTAGAGGGAGTAAAGTCGCTCGACAGTCGCTGAGCTATTAAAAAAAACATTTAATGTCGAATATTATTAAAAATCTTCGACTTCGACTCGACAGCATTTTCTGGTTTCACTAATGTATCATTTACCATAGAATCACATCATTTAGAGATTTGCAAGGTCCCACCCCCCTGTCCCTAAATTTAGCACGTAGATCAACCAGCATGCAGACAGACAGACATGAAAAATATAAAAATTCCCATCAAAGATAATGATTAAATTCCAGTCTTTATCATGGTTAAAATCACATCAAATATACACATTCATGTTCTAGGATACACATAGATTCATAAAAACACTACGGCACAACAAGACGGTAAAAAGATGACGATTTTATACGGACTTTTTCCGTATGAAAGCTGTTCGATGCGTGCTGCCGTATCCGTGTGCCGTATCA